AAGCACGAAGATTATCGTTCGCACTAAATGAGAAAGTTGAAAAGGAAATTAATAGACTAGTTAGACTGGGACATCTCGAGAAAATTGATGTTAGCAAGATGGGCGACACCAATAGTACCGATAATAAAAAGTGACGGATCAGTTAGGATATGCGGAAATTTCAAGTTAACGATAAATCCCTGGCTGGTGATAGATTGTCATCCCTTGCCATTAATAGATGAGATCTTTGTCGCGTTAAGAAACATATTAACAAATAGATTTGGAACACGCCTATATACAAATCCCGGTAGAAGAAGATTCACGGAACTACTTAACGATAGTAATGCACAAGAGGTTGTACAGATATACGAAAATGATGGAAGGTATAGTTTCGGGAGATTTTCAGCGAAAAATCGAACAATGTTTGGCGGGAATAAAAGGCGCGATTCCATATTTAGATAATATATTTTGTAGCATTCTGGAGCAACAGAGAGCATCTTCAAACGTTGCATGAAGTATTCAAAACGTCTCGAAGATTGTGGCCTTAAGATATATAAAGGTATATAAATATAAAGAAATGCGATTTCTTTAAGGAAAGACTAGATATTCTCGGATTCGTGATTGATAAAAAAGGTTTGCATAAATCAATAACTAAAGTAAAAGCGATGATCGAGGCACCGAAACCAAAAGATTTTAAACAATTGCAGTCTTTTATAGGACTAATTACGTATTACGCAAGATTCCTGCCTGATAGAGCAAAAATGCTAAAACCTCTATATGTATGAGGGAAAATAAATTCGTATGATCAGAAAGTTGTAATAGGGCATTCGAACGCATAAAAACTGAATTAACATCTTCAAGAGTGCTGCCACATTATGACCCGAAAGAGAAAATTATGTTAACATGCGTCAACGTATGGATTGTCAGCAATTTTATCACATCAATACGCAGATGATAGTGAAAAACTGATAGCTTACGCATCTAAAATCAATTTCAGAAAAGGAGTTACATCGAGCCCTAATCGATAAAGAGGCAAGTGCGATTGTATTTGGATTTAAAAAGTTCTACAATTACGTATATGGAAAAAATATTGTTCTAAGGACTAATTATAAATTGTTGATATTTATTTTTGGCCCGAAACAAGAAATTCCACTAACAATAACAAGTAGATTGCAGAGATGGAGCTCTTATTTTACTTATTTGTTATCCAGATTTTCATATAAAATAGAATATATACGATCAGAACAAAACGGTAATTGCGACGCATTCTCGAGACTTCCAATAAACGATAGGATGCCAGTGTTCGAAGATGAGTTCACTGCGATAAATTATGTGCAAGAAAAGATTGATATATTAAATGCGGTAGAAATTGCGAGAGAAACAAAACGTGATAAAATGTTAACTCAGATCAGTAAATATAAGGGATAGGTAACCGAGAGACCTTAACGGAAGCGAGGAAAAATATTTTGCGAAACGAGATGAATTAACAATCGAAAAGGGTTGCATAATGTGGAGATATAGAGTGGTTATTCCGGAAAGAATGAGAGAGAGCTACATGCATCTCATGTTGGGATTGTCAAAATGAAAATATTAGCGAGATCATACGTGGCCGAACATTGATAAAGACATAGAATTAATAACGGCGGTATGTACAGTTTGTGCGCAGTAACAAAAGAAACCTGCGAATGTACCGTTAACAGCCTAGCCGTGGCCGCATGAACTCCGGAGCAGAATTCACAGTGACTTTCTAGGCCCTTTTTATGGGCATATGTTTATGCTAATAATAGATGCGCATTCTAAGTGGCCGCAGATTATTGATATGAATAACTGCACGCAAGTGCCGAGAATGATAGCGGAATTTAAGAAAATAATGGGAACGTTCGAACTACCATTCTGTTACTGATAATGGAACTCCATTTATGAGCGCTGAATTTAAAGAATTCATGAAGAGTAATGATGTTAAGCAAAGTTTCTCAGCACCCCCTGCCCCATTATCCCGTTTGTTTTTATTTGATCGAACGACAGAGCATTGTACGACAGGACGAACGTCAGCGTGGATGATATATAAACGAGAGCTGAGAACTGATTTACCCAACTGAGATTTGATTTATCCAAACCAGACGTAGCGGATACTATAGAGAATAAGCATATTGCGCAAATAGCGGGCCGCAAAGGACAGTGTAATGTTACATTTCGGTGAGGAAGTAATGGTCGATGATTATAGCGTGCGAAATAAAAACTTCGATGAGGAAGAGTAATAAAGCAAATATCACCAGTAACTTTTCAGATCGAAATTTCTTCTAACTGTATTTGAAGGCGACATGTAGATCAAATAATCAAATTTAGCGAGAACGACAAGATAAAAGACATAAGCGGTAAAGAAGACACAGTAGCCGAAAAGCAAATATGTTTGTGTCGCTCTGCGAGACTAAATGCGAAAATAAACAATTCGTAAAAGGGACGAAATTGTGATGTATCGATAAGTAAGTCGACTTACCGATATTATAAACTCTAAGGATCACGGCGATTCGATAATCGTGTATGTAAGAGTCGAGTTGTCGCTGAACCGTCACAGAATTTAGACGTGGTATTCATTGTATTGTCAATGTACTTAAATATATATATATATATATGTGTATAGTACAAGGTGTCTCAGTCAATACTCCAATACATAAGTTTCTTTGCCAGTACCAGCGTTCATGTGAAACTACAAAAAAAATTTGTCGTGTTTATGGAGAGAATACTCTAACTAAACAGACAGCAGCGAATTGTTTTCGCCTATTTCGAAATGGAAATTTCGATGTCAAAGTTGCACATCGTTCTGGTCGGCCTATTGTAGAAAATGTCGATGAAATCTTTCAAAAAATTAAAGAAAATCGTCATGTGAGCACCTATGACATAGCTAAAAAGCTAAACATTAATCATAAAATCGTTTTGTGGCATTTGTATAAGGCTGTAATACACAAAGAAGCTCGATATTTGGGTGTCACAGTTGAAAATTTAATGGATCAAATTTTCATTTGCAAATTGCTGCTGAAACGAAATTGAATCTTTTTTTAAAAGATTGAAAATGGGTGATGAAAAGTGAATAACATATGATAGTAATGTCCGAAAAAGATCATGGCGAAACGAAGCATCACAAACAATCGCAAAGCCCAGATTGACACCATAGGATCATGCTGTATGTCTGGTGGGACTGTAAAGGAATCGTCCATTATGAACTGTTGTCGCCAGACAAGACGATTGATTCTGATCTTTATCGTCAACAAGTAATGCGATTGAAGAATTCATTCAGAAAAAACTAGAATCAATAGAAAAAAACGTTGTCTTCGATCATGACAACGCTAGGCCAAACATATCTCTGACTCGACAAAAATTGAAAGAATTTATCTGGAAATTTTGATGCATCCACCGTATAATTTTGACCTTGCACCGTCCGATTACTATTTATTTCAGGCTTTGCAAAATTCACTTAATGGGGAAATTTTATTTCAAAAGAGCGAAAATCATTTATGTCGATTTTTTATCGAGAAATCACAGAAGTTCTACACCGATGGAATAATAGCTCTACTCGAAAAATAGCAAAGGTCATCAATCAATACGACAACGCATTTGTTTAATAAAAAGTTTATAAACAATTTAAAAAATATGTTTCAATTATGCTCCAACTTGTAAAAAAATTTTTTCCTTAACCCAGTATTTGGTTAGATATACACTATCGGCTAAAAGTTTGGATACACTAAAACTTCAAAAAGATATTAAAACCAGATATTAAAACAAAAATTTTTCTTAATATAATTTTTGCTTAAATAATGAAATTACAATACGAAAACTGTAGATAATTCGAATAGAACAAACATAAGTTGAATTTAAATGGTTTGTAATACAAAACTTTTAAACTGCCTTTTTTATAAAAAAATCCACCTTTTATTTTGATGACCATTTTTACAAGTCGAAACAATCTTTCTATTAATTTATTGTATTTTGTTCTAGAAAGATCAAGCATTTTGCAATTGTTGCCATAACTCCCCAGCAGATGATGGACAGGAGATTCTAATTTTTCTGTCAAGCTTTTCCCATAGAAGCATGTATTGGGTTTAAATCGGGCGATTGAGGTGACCATACCAGTAAGTAGTAATAATAATGCCATTAGCTTGTAACAAAGCATCTTTCGGATGCTCTGTTACTAGCGCGCGCTAATGCGGCCCGCGCCATCCGAGGCCGCCCGAGCGCTCCCGACCGCGACCGACCGACACACGCGCGCCGACGAACTGTCACGTAGCGACAACGTGACAGCTATTGTTATATTAACAAATTAAACGATGACACGTGGCGCGGATAGGGGTATAAATACCCGACGAATTTTTAACTAAGACACCAGTCCTATCCGCTCCTCCGACCGGTCCAACACCGACAACCATTCCGACCAGAACAGCGAGAGAAGTTTCTCTCAACGAATACCGAGCGTTCTCCGTATTCCTGTTCTATCCTTTCTCGAGAATTCGGAGTGTTCTCCGCTTTCTCGCTCTCGCAACGAATACCGAGTGTTCTCGATATTCCTGTATCTCCCGTCCGAAGAAAATCAGAGTGTTCTCAGATTTTCCTCCTCCCGACAATACCGAGAGTTCTCAGTATTGTCACTCCATCAATTAACGAAAGTCGGAGCGTTCTCGGACTTTCCCGCGACGTCCGCCCCACGTGTCACGGCGAGCGTCAGCGGTTGCCTAGCAACGTACACGCACGGGCCCGGTTGCCTGGCAACGCGCATCCCGATACGAACCCGGCATCCGACGAGCAAAGATCCGAGCGCACGCCCCCGCGTCCGTGACTAGCGATAAAAACTTGTACTGCGTTTCAACAGAAAAATCCGAGCACGCAGGGACGTTCCGTTACAAGCTTCTTTAGTCTTTAGTCTCTAAATATCCTCAGAAGAGGCGGGAACTATTCTTGGGATCATTGTCTTGTTATAAAACAAAGCCACGACCAATTAGTCTAACTTCGGAAGGTATCGCATTTCAAACGAGAATATTTTTATAATCCTCCTTCCTCATGATATCATCGACTTTTATCAAATCTCCGATGCCATGGCCTTCGATGCCACAAAAGCAGCCCCATACCACTATGGAATCACTTCTATGTTTAACTGTGGGCACTAAGCATTGCGGCGCCATTTTTTCAGAGGTCTTTCATCTTACAAAAATTTGTCTATGAGACCCGAAAACTTCAAACTTGGATTCATCAGTCCAAAATACTTGTTTCCACTGCTCTATTGTCTAGTTTTGATATTAGAGAGCCCATTTGAGTCGTTTCTTTTTATTTATTGGACAGTAAAAGTTTTTTTACAACAACACGTTCTTTTAGACCAGCAGTTCTTAGCGTCTCTTCACAATCGTAAACAATACTGGATTTTTTCGAGCTCTATTGATATCTGCGCAAATTTCTAATGTTGTTAAGCGTCTATTCCGCTTGCTAATAATTACTATATGCTGATCTTCCTGTCAGGTGGTTTATTTCCGGGCGTCCTATGCGAGAATGGTCACGATGGGAGTCAGTATCTTTGAATCTGGCAATAGTTGATTGAACACCTTTCAATGAGACTTTCATTTTTTTGGCAATGAATCGATAAGACATGTCTTCATTATTTAAAGCAATAGTAGCACCTCGCATCTTTTTCAATAGGTATTTTTTTATATTTTCCCATTTTTTAGATCAATATCAATATAAACACTTTAAAAAGAGCTTCCAATTGCTAGTAATAATGACACGTTTCAACTATACAGAATACTGAAAAATCCAATTCTAAATGCTTATTATGACATATTTTAAATATAAACAAAAACTAAAAACCGAAACATAAACAGACCTGAAATAAACATATATATATCTTATTGAGCACAGAATTGCATACTTCTACAACTAATCTACAACTAATTACATACCTACTTTTGCAATATTTCTGAAAATTCTTTTCTTAAAAACGGGAAAATTGATTTTTTTCATATTAATTCAGACTTAACTAACTACTGAAAAACAAAAAAGTTTATTAAAAAGCGGTGGAATCTTGTTAAATAAAAATGAACGGTGTACATGCAAGTGTATCCAAACTTTTGGCCGGCAGTGTAAATTTGATAATAATTTTATTAGACTATATATCAAAATTATTATAGACATTTAAATACGACAATATTACTGCAAAAATTTTTGCTTTCCTAATCAATTGGAACACTTTCATCATTTTTTTTATCTTTTTAGGATAAAAAAATAATCCTGTCCAACAAGGAAAGAGATGCGGGTAAGTACGTATCCGCTGATACTGATAGATAGATCTTTCTCACAGGAAGGAATGTTACTATTAAAATATATTATATAAAGTAAAAATTTAAAAAAAAATAAAGGAAGCATAAAATTTATTTTACTCTATTAAAAAATAAACAATTTGTCATATAAAAACCTTATATCAAAAAACATTATGATTGTAAGAAACAGCAAGTCTGTAAGAGATAGCATGTCTATGAGATATATCAAATCTATAAGAGATTTTTTATGTATAAGAGATATTATGTTTGTAAGAGACATTATATATTATCAGGAACGAATATTTATTAACCATACGCACATGCACATACACATACACATACACGCACAGATGCATGCACACATAATATACATAATGTGCAAAATCCAACCAAGCAATTTCTCCGTGCATTTCGGATATTTACGCAAATATCAGTACAGATTTGAAAAAATACTAGTTACTATGACAAACGTTGTCAATAACATAAAAAAACTTTTTGTAATATAAAAGTGTATTTGCTTAAAAAAGAATTATGATATGATGTAGTAAAAGAGCAAATGAGAATCAGCGCTGTTTACGGTGCACAATTTACATTCTTTATTACAACTTAAAAATATAACATATGTTTCGACTCTAGTTTGAGTCATCTTCAGTGTATACAAAAATAAAAATAAGATACCGTGCTCATCCGACGTGCTCACTAACGTTAATTTCGCTAACTCAAATTATTATGATCGCACAATCATGTCCTTAAAGAAATAGAACAATTTTTAAGGGTTGTCAATTATCGAATGAACACGGCTTATACTAAACCGAACAAAGCACGCGCAGGAGTGCGGCGCAGTTCGCATCGAGCAGCACACCAACAGCGCGTCCGCACGCCTTGAACTCCAGGCAGTGACTGAACGCGGTGACTCTACAAGTCAACAATTTGTCATCAAAACAAAGCCGAGGTTACAGCTTGTTCAAGACAGAAATGTATGCAATGTATGCGTGGTGCAAGAATTCAGTATCAGACTGTGAACTTAAACAATTATTCTGTCTTTTAATAAAAAGTATCTCTGAGATCAGCCGTTTCTGCAAATTACGTTCACAGTTTAATACTGTCACATCGTTCCAGTCAAATTCATGATCGTAATCCAATCTATGTTCGATAATGACTGAATGTGTGTTCGTGTTCCTACGTATATGACTCTAGTGTTCATGCAGTCTCGTTTTTAATTGTCTCATTGTTTGTCCATACGCATCACAGCTGCTGCAGTAGATCTTGTACATTACATTCTTTTTGGAATGTGCTGATAGAGCGTCCTTATGAACCCTGATCATGCCTCTCACCTTATTCATACTGAAGTGCGCGGGTTTTGCGTTAAAATCATCGACAATTTTTTAAGTTTAGTCGTAATTCCCGGAACAAAGAGTAAAGTGAACCATTTTCCTTGTGATTGCACTGTTGCATTTGACATGCTTGATCTAATTTCTCGACTGAATAAAGTTTTTAGTCTCGAATGGATATTATCAAAGATAAAGTTGAGAGGATAATCATTCATTAACAAAGTCATAATTATTAAATTCAAGTTTTTTTGATGGTATTTCGGGTGAGACAGTAAGAACGCTCTGTCGGCAAGTCCAGCAATAATGTTTCTTTTTTGGGCGAGAGGGTGCTGGGAGTAAAAATTGAGATACCTTCCCGAGAATGTGGGTTTATGAAACCAATCAATCTCGACGTTCTTATTAACAACAAGGTCAAATCGAGAAAATTCAACTCGCTCCCCCCCCCCCCACCTCAGCAGTAAATTGTAATCTAGGATGGTACAAGTTGAACTAAGAATCTCATCAATCAATCAGGGAAGGAATGGCCATTGCAATATCATCAACATATCTATTAAAAAATAGTAAATGTACCTTAACATCCTCAAGCACACTCTTCTCCAAATATTTCTTAATATTAAATCAACTATGATCGGAGACAATGGGGAACCTATGTTCCAAAGGTTTGCTTATAGATTACATTGTCAAACGTAAAAAAGGTAAAATTTAGTAAACAAACGAAACTGCATCTAAAAATTCATCCTTAGGGATGTCGCAGTTCTTCGAAATATAGATTCTTCTTATAGAAGAATTATGATTTTTATTAAGGGAGAATCTCATTTTTCGAGTTAAAAAAATCAATTTTTTAACGGAATCTTTTAATTTAATATCTTTAAGAATATCTCCATAAAATTTTGTATCAAAACTTCATAAAATTTCAGGAGTTATACTTAACTGATCAAGTACCTGATCAAACGCAAGTATAAGTTTTTTAACGATCGACAGCTGTTCCAGTTTTGTTTTTAGCACAAGAATTAAGTTAGTCTAGGGACATTTGTGTTATTCAAGAGTGAAATTTTCAATAATCATTTAACTTCTGACGCACGCACGAAAATAAAGAACAATGAATCGCAAACATTCACGAAACACGTATGAATGTGTAGCAGACGAAAGAAAAGAAAATTAATGGGTAATATTCTTCTAAACTTGGGAAACGGATACTTCATTTGCAAATACATCAGCAGAAAAATTATTCAGTATTCAAGATGAGGAAAATATTTTGTACCGCGTGAGATCAATACCGCCTTGAAAGATCAGCGCAACGGAGCCTTCAGGCTACGAAAGAGGCTGAACAAAACGAAAAAACGAACAGATGGCTCAAAATCAATTTTATGAAGATGAGGAAGAATTGTTAGGATAGCAGAGTAACAAATATAAAATATAAGTACTTGATATACTTATATAAACTAATATTATGTCCGGCGGACTTCACGATTCTTCTCTCTTTTCGGAGCGAACGGGCGAACTCCGATACAGCATAAAAAATATCATTCTGTAAACTAAGATAATTTTTACTTTAACTCCGTGGAGACCAGTCTGCCGAACACGTGAATCTCAAACCGTTGAGGACTCGCTTTTCGAACTAACAAATAAACTATAAAACCCAATTGAATTGCAACTAAGATAAGACTTGAGCCGCCGACCACCCATTCGGCCACAAATATTTAGATAATGCCGTATGTTGATAAAGGCTCAGGCCCACTATCTAACTATCATCCCTAAAAATTCTCTTTCGTACCAATCAGACTCTTTTCCCAAAATTCTGAACTATGATAGGCTAACTCCCCCCACATCCCTAATGACTTGCTAATTCCTATTCGTTAAAGATTCGCGAGATATTCTTAATTCCCGAATCGAAGCTCCACCCCAGCTTTTATCAAGATCCTCCCCGGAGGAAATGCACTTCGAAAACGCACTTCGCACTTATTCTTTGACCGATAGTTTTCACGCGCTTTGATCCGTTAGTTTTTTTTCGAGCAATCTTAAATCCTTTGTTTTTTTTGGATATTCGTGTACCTACTCGTCCGTTCGCATTCGCTTTTAACTCTCGGTTTAGTTTGTCGATTTTCTCCGAAGTAACCGCAGATTTAATTAAACTTTAATATCGGGACGGAATATATTTTAAATTAAAATAAACCTGCAACTTCTTTTAATTATCACTTTATTAAATATGAGCAAAAGTTCCTTTTGTGCGCCCTTGTTTTTCAACTTCCCTGCAGAACCCTACAGAGAACCACTGGCCGCTGGTCCCGACCCCCAATCTCTCGATGATCTACCTGCAACATTTCTTGTTATCATCACAGTAGTAAGTCGCATGGATTAATATGATCTACCCATCACCACTTAAATACCGATTGTTCCCCTTGTTCCCCCTCCCTCTTACTTACCTCTCTGAGCCTACCGTTCTTAAGGTTTAACACTTTTACATTTACATAATCATTTGTTTAAAATATTCATTTTTTTTTAGTTCAATTATTTATACTGTAAAAACCGAGTATGGCCCTAAAT